GCCACCATTGTTCATCATTTATAAAAATTGTAACAGTCTTGCACTCTTTTCCGGCCAAACCTCTAACAAAACCCACATTATATTCAGCCAGAGCTTGGCGGTGTTTAATAAAAATAAAAAATAAAAAAAATATTACGCAATATACGCACATTGGTATCACGTACCATATTGATGGAAAACCGTTTAGCAATGACATTGAATCTTTCGTTGGACCGGTTGTCAATGCAAAAATCGAAATGACGAAGCATATACCGGTAAATACCTCGCTGCAAATTGAGGGGAATCGCATTGTGTGCGGCGTTCCTAATTACAGCGCGTTTGGTCCGCTTCTCCGATCTGATACCAATGCTGGGAACCCCAATACTAGGATCATGAACCGAATCGTCGGATTCGTGGTCTGATGATGTTCGATAATTGCTCTTTTGGCAGCGTTGGATGATACCTATAAGCGGATCATAAGAAAATTTCATTAATCCATCAATCATATTCATAATCACAAATCATATTCCTTAGGAACAGACCAACAGTATTGTCCAACAGTGTCCAAGAGCCCAACAGTAGTGTCAAAAAGTGTTGAACAGTCCAATAGTAGTGTTTAACAGTGTCTAACAGATCGGACAGCTGTTCAACACTGTTCAACACCGTTCGAACATAACTGTTGGACTGTTCAACACGAGGGGCAAACCACTCAAAAGTAATACTGTGTATTAGTATTACTTTAAGTAATACTAATGTAAATATTACCTTGTATTACTTTAGTATTACTTTTTTCAAACAATAGTATTATTTTTAAAAGGAGCATTACTTTATCAAAAGTAATACCACTTTTACCTAGTATTACTTCGTATTACTTCGCAGGTATTATGTATTACTTTTGAGTGGATTGCCCCTTGGTTCAACACTGTTGGCCACTACTCTCAGAATTCAAAGGAGGCAAACTAAAAAACATATAGTGTAAAACATCAAATTACCCACTGTTTTTTGCCATTGTAGGCAAAATGTCAGTTTACCTCCGCTGTATTAAAATTGTCAGCAAAATGTCATTTTACCTACATTGTTCATACAATGGAACACCGTTCCACCAAAAATGTAGGTAAAATGACATTTTGCCGACAATTTTAATACAGTGGAGGTATACTGACATCGACGGGTGGAAGCGACAATTCGAACTTCTGGCCCTCTATCGACTTAATTTTGAAGCATTCTGACACTTGACAGCCATTGACAGTTCATGTTGTACACATTGTTTACAAAACAAGATAGCAACTAGTGAAAATTAACTGATTTTCAGGACTGAAATCAATGAGTTATAAAAGGGGCAGCAAATTTCAAATGTATTCAGATTTATTTTAAATAACTTATTTAAACGTAAAAATCGCATAGCGGTCACCAAATCGAATATAATAGAAATTATAGCCAAACAAATGAAAGAACGTATTACTCAAAAAAAAGCCGATGTTAGTTCTCAAAAACAGATGTAGAGGGCCAGAATGATGAACATACATTTCTATAGTTTCAGTACAGAAATACGGAATTGCTTCCACCCGTCGACTGACATTTTGCCTACAATGGCAGAAAACAGTGGGTAATTTGATGTTTTACACACTATATGTTTTTTAGTTTGCCTTTTTTGAATTCTGAGAGTACTGTTGGCCTGTTCAACACATTTGGACACTACTGTTGGACTGTTCAACACTGTTGGACACTACTGTTGGCCTGTTCAACACTGTTGGACTGTTCAACACTGTTGGACACTACTGTTGGGCTGTTCAACACTGTTGGACACTACTGTTGGACTGTTCAACACAATTGGACACTGTTAAACACTGATTTTAGTTACATACAACACTATAATTTATTTGCTTTCGAATCACCACTTCAGGTTTCATTTTATTAGGGATTCCAATATTCACAAGAACGACTTACATTAGTACATAACCCATAAAAAAGGTCGAGGGAGAAGCCCATGCTATTGTTTTCATTTATTAACTTAATATAACTTAAAAAATACATCACCTATAAATGAGGTGGAGGGAGAAGCCCATACTAATGAAATTCCAGCTGCGTTCGTGGCGGCATATCCTTCATCGCGTGGACAACCATGTATGAAGTCACTTCTCCGTTCAGCTTTCGGAATATTCCGTAAAATCTGAAATGAGAGGAAAATAATCCGTAATATATTTCTAAGGCGAAATTTTCACTTGCCCATGGGCGTAAAAGTCTTGTCTATGGGCAAAATTGCCACTTGCCCATAGGCGTTAAAGTCTTGTCCATGGGCAAAATTTTCAATTGGGCAATATTTTTCCTTACTGTAAAATTTTTTTCACAATAGCGAATGCGAAAAACACTTTTGAACTTCGTACCCAGGGATAATACAGTGTCAAAGCGTCACTCAAAATGATATCAGTCATTTTGAGTGGTAAATCCACTCACAGGAGCGTCACTCCATTTTAACCTCGCCAAGAGGTTTTTCATCTGATATTGAATTAATATTATTAATTGAAAAAGCCACGAAATAAAAACTCAGAGATTTCATTTTGTGTACGGTTATATTTCGAGCTATTTGTAGTTGCTATTTTGAAATAGCAGCTACTCAGTTTGCAGTACAAAATTCATATTCCCTTCCAGATTTGCCAAGTCAAATTTGCGGATAATCCGAGTGAAATTCGGCAAAAAATGCGATATAGCATTCCTGTAGGGAATGAGTTTTGGAGAACTTTTCTTCCAGAACACATTGGTCCAGGTCGGGTCTACCTGCTCAATATGGCGTGCAGATTCGCCCCAAAAATAAGATTTAATTTATAGATGTAGAAAAATGTAATTCTTATTACTTTATTACCTACTTATCACTTTAATAAGATGACCTATTACTTGTGACTCATCTTATTGCTTTGTAATATCAAGCAAAATCGTCATTTCAGTTTTTTTTTCATAGAATTTCAATGAAAAAGAAGAAATAATAGAAATTTTTGCACATTTGCTCAAAATTTTTGTGTGAGACATCCCCCTAGATAAGATGATAATTTTTTTTTCGATACAAGGTACATTAATGTGGATTGATGGCAATGAAATATTGGTTTTGGAACAGAGTTGAACATGGACACCATCTCGGTCCATCATGGTCATGTTAACACGACTTAACACCATGAATAGTCAATATGGGTGTCATATGAAAGGTTTTGGAACGGGGATGAACATGGTCACCATCTCGGTCCATCATGGTCATCTTAACACGACTTAACACCAATTCACATATGAAAAAATGCGTGTAAAATCAACTCCAGAAAAAGGAGCAACTTTCCCAGAAAATCGTCTTTGCTTTGAAAAAACAAGTATGGAACATACGAAATGATACAGACTAACATTCATAACTGAATTTTGCTTTTTACGTCAAATTGTATCGTCATCTCACTGAAATGCTTAGTTTTCTTATTCATCTTTCTTGATTTAAAAAAAACTAACTGAACGGAAGAGAAACCGAACTAGCGCCCAAGCCGAGCGAAGCGAGGCGAGGAAGCTAGTAAGTAATAAGATCATCTTATAGTATTACAGCAATAAGATTGTAATTGTAATAAGTATTACTTTTGGTGCAAAAAAAATCGCAAGAAAAGTTTCATATAAAAAACATCTCAATTTTTGTCAGACGAAAAAATGTTGAAAAAAAATGTGTCTGGCAAAAATCATGTCAAATTTTGCAAGACACATTTTTTTCCAACATTTTTTCGTCTGACAAAAATTGACATGTTTTTTACATAAAACTTTTTTTGCGATTTTTTTTTGCACCAAAAGTAATGAGATACTTATTACAATTACAATCTTATTACAGTAATAAGTCCATCTTATTACAGTAATAAAATTAAAGTAATATGTAATAAGTTACTTATTACTTTACTTCTATAATTTAATTTGTGCGGCATTGGTATCCACGACAAAAGAGATTGTTTTTTACACTGATTATTGTTTATACTCACATCCTACGAAGAGCTCAAGAATAATTCCGAAGTCAATATGAGACATGTTACAAAAGATTAGCCAAAAATTTGTTGAACAAACGAAAGAAAAACGTACCCTAAAAACGTGAAGCCAAAAAGGAGAAAAAAGTTCTGCTCTCGACACACTCGCAAATTGCCTAATTTTTGGCGACAGAGCATCGAAGCGGCTGGCTTTGTAGCGCTGCTGATGAACAGATCTGTTCAACAGCAAACCGTATAAATCCAATGCTAGCGTGTCTGTATTGTGTGTATATATTGACCGCTCAACGTGTGTTGTGTGCATGACCACTAGAGGCAGGTCGAATGTTGTCGTCAGTATGGATTTCATAGCCGCGGCTTGGCGGGCATTCATTTCTTATGATCAAGATAAACTATAGTTTATAAACATGTAAGAATGAAAACAACGTTTGATACGCTCACATATTAAAACACATCTCAGGACCAAACGCATAACAAAGAGAAACCATTTTTTTTATTATCATACGTATATTGCACGTAAAGCGTCTGTGTACAAAAATATGGTATATTCGACATTCAAATAACAACGCATTTTTTTATGTTGATGGAATTTTTTTTTTGATCTGCGTCAAGGCGCATGAGTGTATCATACCCAAGCAAAAATCCACACTGAATCAACGTTGCGTTAACGCATATCTGACACTGTTTCCACACGGTTTTGAACGTAGAACCGTGTGGCTATAGTATAGTAGAGTGTGAAGTTGTTTGACATCATTTTTAATATCAAATAACCGTGTGGATGCAGTGTGGGTTTGTACGGTTGTAAAAACAGTAAATTCTTTCCTTCCGCCACTGTAAAATGTATGGGAAATTAACGAAATCATCCTGTACTTTTTTTTTCGCTTTATTTTAACCATTGTCATTTTGAAAACATTTACACATTCAACTAATTTTATTTTACTGAGTTGGATTGATTGATTTCATTTGATGCATATTTGGTTTTAGTATTGGTAAAATAATTAAATAGAGTTTTTAATAAAAAAAATATTATTTAGAAAAAAACTGTATTTTGCATTGTTTTAAATTAACAATTGTAACAATTACGTTGGAATTTAACTACTTTTTGTAGTGGTGGCACCATATGATGACCCTTTGCTTATTTTCGACATTCCAATGGTTTTTTGCATCAAGACGTAGACTGAAAATGGTGGAAAATAATTCAACGGTTTAAAATGTGATTGGAATTAAATTGTTCAATGAAGACTATTTGAGATTTGATCATACTTACACACTAGGATAATGGCTACGCCAATGAAAAAGTACAACAATCTACCACTAAACAAAAAGCCAATTAAATAGTACGAAATTGGCAGAAGTGTTATGATGGCCCAGAACATGAGATTTCCAATAGTTCCGATAGTTGGTTTATAAGCAAACTGTTGAAAAAGAAATATATTTGACAATTTTTTTTAAATGTGGGTTATTTCATCCAAAGCCAAAAATACGAACTGGTTCAATAGGTGTCAATCCGGTGCCAGTGAAGAAATCACCGTGTGTATGAAAACTGTCTTGGAGTTTATCTTTAAAACGGAACAACTCTTGCATCCATTCAGCGGCTTCTTCTTCGTTGTTTGGTAAAGATTTCATGTCAATGCGTCGAACGTGCATATATCCTGTCACACCATGGCCATTTAATAAATTACCAATGGTTGGTTCAACCTTATCATCTTTCTTGAAGACGAGTTGAATATCCAGAATAGATGGACACTTCTCTTTTAAATATGGTAGACTAGCGGTAAAACCTTTTGTACGTGGAATCAAATGGTGTTTCAATACGGTCATGCCACGTTCTTGTGCGAATTTTACAGAGGCTTCATGTTTCGTTTCTGTGAAACGTGTTCCCTCAGCGTTCAGTAACAACTGGAAATATTTCAAAAATTGGAATTAGGTTCAACTGAGTTATATTCGAATTTTAATACACAAATTATATACCCAAACTGGGTCAGGATAATCAAAGATTTCATTGATCTGTCGTCCGATAGTTTCTTTGTCTTTGTCAAATGATCGTTCTAAAAAGACAAACTCTCCAAATTTCCACGACCAACCAATAACTGGAATGTACTGAATGACTTTTTTTGCATACGCTTTGCAATTTCCGAGTACACCGACTTTTTCGCATAGCATCCATCCAATCAGCCAATCAACATCATACGTATGGTTCATCAACAACAATGTGTGTTCCTTGCCCAAGTACTTTTTGCGTACCTCTTCATCACAATAGATGTACAATTTGGAGTTTGACCACCAATCGGCAATAAAAACCATTTCTGGAACACAGCAATCATATCTAGATTAGTTTCATTTTCATTGCAATGAACGGATCATCAGAAAAGGAGATAATTAGGATGAGACTTACGGCTATTTAATGAATAGCATAAATAGTAGCCGATGCTGCGATACAATCTCTTATTGAATGGTTTCAATCCATAGAACAATGCACATTGTATTACATTAATTATGAGTCCAGATGTAAAAAATGATATTGCCAAACACACGTGAACTATGTTCGATTTTTTAAATTGCGTCAATAAATCCATCTTTTTCACATGCGTTACTTATCTTCAATGTGATCCAACATGAATGACACCTGCAAATAGAATAAAATTTATTCGTTAAATAAATATATACTTTCAGATGAATATATTTTGAATTAAAGGTTCTAGGGTATTCATTACAGTTTTGTCATTTTCAATGATCAAATTATGTTAAGAATGACAGTTGAAAATTGAAAGACAAGAGAAAAATAAACGTATTTTATACACGTATACCATTTAAGCTGAAGAAATATGCACATGTTATCATTACGTTGAAGACCACGTCAAATGAATATGATCAGCAAAAAATCACGTTCATTACGGAAATCATAATGATACCTCAGCTCATTCATACTATACGTAATTGCTACAAAGTCTAGCCTACACATTAAAGAAGAAAACAAAGAGAAGCTGATCGAACAAGCAAAAAAAAAAAATGTGAACGACACTTGAACATTCGCCACACTTATCGTGACAAAAGTCCAAAGTTTAGGCCATGTTGTTATAACCGAAAAAAAAATCAATTCAATTATGATAAGCAAAGCAGGAAAATGAATGACAACGTGCGAAAAATTCGAAAAAAGTTGACATGTGTTTGAAATCAGTTTTGGAAATATACTCAGTGTGTCTTGATTTTTGAATCATAAATCATGGACGTGACGAAAGAGTATGTATTGAGTTATAGTTAAATTTTCGTGTATCTCCTTTTTTATTTTTGAAGTCTGTTTGCCGTTCGTTGTAATGTTTACATTACTTTATTGTATAGTACATGATCGAATGCAGATCACATAATCGATTGTACGCGAATGGTCATTCAAACGCAATGACTTTGAGTTCAATGTGTGATTAAACAAATAAATTATATGATACTATATACAACATTTGTGTGACAAGTAAAGTGTTGTGATGTAATTCTCATTAAAGGTCCAATGATATTATTTTCTATTTATGCCTGATAGAAGGACAACGAGTTATGTATCTTTGAGTTCATCAAATTATCGTCAATTGATTTTTTGTTTTTAATTTAAAATATTATTAACAGGCTATCTAACTTTTTTCGTCAAATCTAACAATCTCATAATGGAAATAATGAAAAACACATATTTCCTATGCTGATTTTGACAATAATTATCTACCTGACTTCATAACTTTTAGCTAGATTTTTTTTTAAATAGATATTTCTTCTCAATACTTTGATGCAATAGCATGAAAATTTCCACTTCCAATCAGATCTTTAGACACGCAAACTGAAATCTAATTATACGCGTTTCTATCAATCACACTTTAGAAAAAAATCTAAATGAACAATTTTAAAGGAAAAAAAAATCTTGGATCACAATCTAGTTTAACTAGTCTAGCAGACTTGTATGGCATGCACACACGTTCTATAAGGTCCACAATGTGAATAATATGCCACCTATTTCACGTGCATACAGAACTTTAATTCTCATTCTTTCCATCACATTGCAATTAGATTATAGCACTTTTGGAACGGTCAAATAAAAATCCCTTTTTTTTGAAATGGTTTCATTCATTATTGACAATAATTTGAATTTGCGTACTTTTCCAGTTGTGTTTTAATGAATAGAATAGAAGAAAATAATGCTAAGTAAAAGATATTGATTGTTTGTGTGATGTATCGGCATCGGTAGCCTTAACACTAAAATTTACGGGAACATGTATTTACACCTTCAATTCTTTGCTCTCCAATTATACGGTAAAATTTGTTTCACTTTCTGCTTCTGCCAAACCACTTTCACACGGATTGAAAATATCAGACTGCACCAGCACTCAGTATATTTTTGAAGTACAATACGATGTTAAAAAATTTTTTTTTTGCGTAAGATAGAATACTAGCACTCCTGTGTGTAAATCACGCTCATACACATATACGTGCATACAGTGAACACGGAATGTCAACAGGGTTGTTGCTGTCATCACATTCCGTGCGTTCGAAAAGTACGTTTAATTCTTCCGTCCAGTGATAACTCAGTTTTATGATATTTTTTTTTCCCTACACATTTCAATAAAAATGTTTTTGAATTGATCCACAGAAATGAGTACATGGAGATTATATGTTGGTAAAAAATCGGTTTGACAAGACGAAATGAGGAAAATTTTTTTTTTACCAGAATGATTCCAATTTTTTATATGTTTCGCTTTATTATTACAACTGTCACTCAATTTTTTGACATTTAAAATACATGTGTTTATTCATAACGCATGTAGAACAGTTTCGTTCCCCATCGCCAGAAAATTTACTCTTTTTTTTTGTTAAATTTAATCAATACTGGGATTAAAAATGCCACAAAAAGACTATATCGGGAAGAAGAATAAATTACCAAAAGTCGTGAAGAGCAAACCAGCTGATAATCTATTGAAAGATGAAGTGGAATCAGATAACTCTGTTGAACAGTTGTCCAAAGATACAACAACAGAAAAGTTTTCGTTGTATGTTCGAGGTGCGGCATGGATAAAAGACCGAGATAATGCACCAAACCGTCTGAAGGAAATCTGCTCAAAGATCCAAGATGTTCGGCATCCACGACAAAAGGGTGCTGATTATTGTTTTATTGACTTTGCATCGGCAGCAGATCGTGACACATCCTACGAAGAGCTGAAGAATAATTCCGAAGTTAATGTGAAACATGTCACAAAAGATCAGCCTAATTTGTTGGAGAAACGGAAGAAAAAGGTATCCGAAAAACGTGAAGCCAGAAAAGAGGCGCGCAGATTGCTTGCAAAAATTAAGAAGAATGAAAAACTAAATGAAAAATCGATGGAAAAAACAAACGAGATAATCATTACAAATTTGCCCGTACAAACCACCGCTACTGAACTGAAACAGCATTTTACCAACGCAGTGAAAATCAACATGAAGTTGAGAAAAAAGGCTAAAAAGATCAATTCAACCATTATTACCTTTTGCAGTCCCTACGACGCGTTTACCGCATCAAAACAAGAGGTAATATTGCATGAACAAAAGCTGAACATAGTGCTGAATACGAATGCTGCATACAAAAAAGAAATGAAAAATAAACGCAAGCAGCCCATAAAAAAGGTGAACGGAGAGCCGAATCAAAAGTCATCGAAGGTTGTAGCTAATTAAAATACAAACTCGTCATTTTCTGAATGATTATTTCAATGTATTTTCACATTTCAATTGATACAATAAACGTTTAGCCTGTAATTGATCTTAATCATTTTATAGTTTTTATTTAATTTTTCATTCACACGTGCAAGTTTATATTTTATTTTCTGCATTGTAAGTATTTATGTGCTGAACTCGAATTATGCAACGGATTCAGTTCCATTTTGGTTGACTGTCTCATTTTTTGAGCTATCAAGTTCTCTGTCGGCGTCACTTTCAGATACTTCAATCTCATCGGCCTTCTCGCTATTTTTGAAACGGTCATAGCTAAATTAATGAATGAATGAATGAATGAATCAGTAAATGAATCGGAATATTCGATATTTTAATGCACAAACTTTTGGCCGGTTTTAGTGGTGCTACACTCACCGTTCGACTGATGCATCATCCTCATCCTCATTATTATTTTCTATATTTGATTGCTCGATTTGATTGCAATCTTTGTCAGTATCCTCCCAAACTTTATCAGTGGTTTCGTCATCTGTTTTAGCAACCGATTCAGAGCGTTTAGCTTCAGAGTCCCCAGACTTGGCTGTTAAATGGAAACACAAAATAAGTACACTCTCCAACTGTTCATATCTACCACTATGTTTAACTTACAGTCCTTCTTCGAGTGCTTCTCCTTATGATCTCTTCGGTGAATCATTTCGGCAGTGATCTTCAAGGATTGGTTTTCTTTGTAACGCAAATAAGCACGCAAGTGATTACGTGTGCTGCAGTGTTTTTGTAGAGCCGCATCTGGGTCTTCCAAATGTGGCAAATAATAACGGCATAGTTCGCAATATAACACCTCGACTTTTTTCACATGTTCGTTGCCTACGTTGATTTCGGCACGCGATGTGTCAACTGTTGGTTTGACATCAGCAACGGTATTTTCTTCGCTTTCGTCATTAAATGGAAATTCACCTCCATTCACATCCCCAACTGAGTCAACAATCAAAAAGTTCTCCAAATCCACTTGTAGCTCTTCACTTTCTTCAATGTCACTTTCCTCGCCCTTGTTTGCTTTGCGCTGTAAATGCAAAAAAAAAAAAAACAACAAAAAATATTTCAACCGTCTCAATTTGATGGCAAAATGGAATTAATTTTCTTCAATTCTACCCTGAGATGTTCTACGGAACATCGATGAATTTCGTAAGACATTGGGCTTTTGAATGACACGGAGCATGTCTCACAGTAGGGCATCAAGAACTCTTTCATTTTACGATGCGCTTCAGATGCCTGATGTTCCTCTTTGGGTGAACGGTAATTTAAACGACATAACATACAAAATTGTGGCGTTAGTTTTTCCATGTCTTTCAACTCTTTTTCGAGTTGACGTTGTGCATTCCGTTGAGCTAATCGCATTCGTGCCAAACGAGTTTTTTGCTTCAAACCATAGCGGCCTAGCACTAATTTATGGCTGCGACTGTGAATGTGATTGTTATAATCCTAGAATGAATGATAGAAACAATAAATTCATATGCAGATAGACGAGCACCATGTTCATTTACCTTGAATGTAGCACTTTCTATACGGCAGTGCACGCAGAAGAGTCGAACGAATTTCTTTCGTTTTTCTTTATCGTCACCTTTTTTCACAGACTCAGTATCCTCATTGTCAGACTTGTCGACTTGCATTTCGTTTTCTTCATTTGCAGCTTCTTCCACAGAAGCATCGGCAACATTTTCCTCGTTCTCGATGGCATCATCTGCAGATGGTTTCTTAGTTGCTTTCTTTTTCTCAGTTTCTTTTTCAACATCTGATTTCAAATCGTTATCTTCAGTTTTCGGTTTTTCCGTCTTTTCGCCTTCATCCCCCTCAGTGACTTTTTTCTTTGCAGCCGTATCACGTTTCTTCAGTGAACTGAATGCATTATAAGTGTTGAAAAAGATTAACTATTTATTGCTTTATATTCGAACACGCATTCTAGATAATTGCGATCTCTTTTCGATATTCGATTTTTAAACAGCTGTTTTGAATAGATGTAGACAATGTAAGTGAAATGAAATACCTCCGCATCAGTTTAGCACGTCTCACGGCATCCCGATTTCTGTTGACTAAGCGACGCCGTAGAATGTTTGAACGCAAAGATGTTACCAGCTTTGATCTGCGGATTCGTGAGTTCGTTTCTGCCTTTTCGCGTGCTGTTGCTCCCTTTCCGCTGAATTTGCGAATCGTCTTATTCACTGGTGAATGAATTAGTATAGGAATGGAATAGTTCATGACAATCATATTTTTAGCCAGGTTTCACAGCTTGAAACATTCACGACAAATCATCAAATTTCTCAAGCCTAGTCAAAACGTTTACTTATGTCTGCGCAAAAATCAACAGTATCTTTTTGTTTTCTTCGGGTATTTGAGTGTGTGTGTGTTTTTATTCTGTAGATTTCACGCCAATATATCTAGATCTGAAGAGGCTTGAATAATTGGACGCTTCGTCTATGAAGTTTTTTTTTTTGCTGCTGGCATTTCTTAATCGATTTGCCAAATAAATGAGTTTCTAGACTGGAACGAATATTCACCGAGTGTACGTTCTTTTGCACGATGCGACGAGTTTTTCTCAACATTTCCGTGACGTGAAAATGGACTGGGTTTGGGCAGTGGAGAGCGCCTGTTGTTGCGGTTGTTGCTATTCCGACCAATATCTCCGTTCGAATAATGTCGACTGTGCCGATTATTATCAGATAGATTGTTGCCGAAATCACGTCTCGACCCACTATTGCCCTATTAAAGAGATCATGTATTTGATTGTTTTGGTTTTGTTTCGTTTTCGCATCATTATTTTTCACATATAGATTGGGAGATTTTCAACAGCACTGCTGTATTTTGATTGCTGCATATTTTTGTGAAAACCACCTTTCAGTCATTAGATGCATCAGTTAGTAAGTGAAATTGAATTGGTCACGTTTTGATATTGACCACCAAACGAGCAGCTGTCAGTGACTGCATTTGCATTTTGACCGGTTCTCTTGGATGAAGCCAATTTTTGGCAGCAAACAATCATCGCAGAGCAATGCTCGTGGTTATTTGTCCAATATTTAACATTTTCATGTTTATATTCATGTTCATGCGTTCTGTACCACCTCCACTTTCTTTTTTTCTCTTTTTCATTCTCAATTTCTGCACTGAATTTCGTATGAAAACATCTTATCTATTTGAATTTGGAGCAGAACGGCCATTGACCTAGCTGAGTCATCATTCTATTCTATATGTGCATTAGTTTGGCTTGCTGATTGAAAAGTGTTTTATTTTGAATTTAGTTTGGCATTTGTGGACATTTTTGTTCGTATGTGTGAGCAATTAAATCCAACCAAACAATATATCGATATTGTGATATTGGTTATTGAAATTGCTATTCTCCCATCAGCTGAATCGATCGAAAGTGAACCGCAACAGTTTGCTAGTTTTGCTCATTCGTTTGCTGCTACGTATTCGTATATTTGTCATAACCTGGACACCCGAATTTTCTGAGTTTGTTATTATATTTTTAATAATATCTATGGGCTTATTCTATGTGTAATTTCGGTCGACCAAAACAATATCAGTATCGCTTTTATCCTAATTGTTAAAATAGAAATAATTTGTTTGATGAATATTCAACATTTTAGACAGGCCCGAAACCATATTACAAAAAAAATATAAGTTCAATGATATTATTTAAGTTTAATAAATTCATGTGAAATCGTATTCAATATTGAATTCTATTCAAGTCGCTTCTTTTTTAGGCCAATGAAAATCGTTGACATGCATACAAACGTGACAGGTATTAGAGTTCCAACATACTTGAATCGATTGGTTTTAAAATGTACCACTTTATTTCATTTGGTATTGAGTATGCTTATCTTGAATTAAAGCATGTTGAAATCTACGCCGTTTCATTTTGTCAATGTTCACATTTCACGTAAATTCCCAAAAATATTTGATCAACTAAATTTGTTTACTTACTTCATGCCGAGGTCTCTTTTTTGCCAACGAATCGCCCCGTGGATCATTCTGGAATTAGATTTAATTGTAAATTCATGGTAGTTTTTCATTGATTTTAGTTTGTGTTGATATTTTGATTTTAGTGTTTGGTCATTTACCCGATTTGAACGATCACTATGGCCATGTGTGAACCGTTCTGCTGATCGGCGATCATATCGTGATCTACGACTTGATGGGCCACTTTTACCGAAGCCATCATCAAACCGGCGATCATTTCCTCTGCTTTGGTTGTTGAATCGGCCACCGGATGAACCACCATCTCGATAAGAATCGCCTCTGAATTTACTGCCATAATCTCGGTCGCCTGAATGCCCACCTCGGGATGAAAATGAACGACCACCACCTCTCATTTTGTCTGCTTTATCCTATCGATTAATGATACTATTTAGACCATTCAACTTTTTTCTTTTCTTCAATTGAAAAAGGAAAGAAAAAAATGCCGGTGAAGAAATCGTTTTTGATAGACCAAAATCTCCAAAATTTCTTTTTTTGTGTCAATCAAAACGTATTACTAATTAGTGCTCTCAATGAAATATTCAATAATATGAGCTGATTGAATATTCAAAAATATTCATAAGTTTTATTCTTCGAAGCCGGCCATTTTCTTTTGTCAGCACATGATATTTACCACAACAGGAGATTAAAATTATTTGAACAATTACAAAAATACGAATCGAATTTTCTTTCAAACACAAAAATCTATGGGTTTTTCGTCAATCAGCAGCCAAAACCCGAATTTCTCCTTATGGGTAAATGTTTAATCAATTTCGATTAGACACGTAATGGAAGGTGCTTCATTCAGTACTACAGACGCGTAGAATGTCTGTTCTTTTTACTGTAAAGGAAAAAAAGTGATTTAGGTGCGATGTCAAAAAAGGCGACGCGACTATACACGACGAAGTTGTACGACTTGCAAATTATTATTTGGACATTTGAAACGGTTAACAATATGAAACGTTTACAAAACAGCGACCTGACATATGCAATATAATAGTGTTTTGGTGTTCGAAAATGAATTGTCAAAACTGCATATAAACAGAATGCGAACAACTGTCACTAACTTGGGAATTGTTTGAGAATATGAGCAGTGCTAATATCTGCAGTATTGATTGGCCATGAAATGGGTTCTGTGAATTCAGAGGAATAACAGAATTCCACCTTAAAACTATGAAAAATAACTAGGCGAGTGATACAGCTTCGAGAATGGTAGAGAATTCTTTTTTATTTGGAATCTTCGATTGGGATTGCAATAATTGTATGGTATGTTTAACTTCTAGCAACAACCACAACATGAGACTCCCGAAAGTGAGTCCAGCAACTTTGAGTGTTATCAGAATTACACGGCGCCTGAAGTTTTCGTACAACATATCGCTGGAATTGTGAATCAGGGAGACGTTGAACTCATTGTACGAGCACAGAAACAAATGTAAGCAATACGTCACGTTCCATAAGAGCGTGTTACATCTCATTAGCTAATATAACTGTGCTCCATTTTAGGCTCCAAAGATTTGAAAAGACTAATGAAATGTTACTGAACTGTATAGCATTGAGCAACGGCCGATTGAAAGTGGCTAACGATGACTTTAGAAAGCACATCAAACTTATAAATGATATGAAAAAAGATTTGGACTATATTTTCAAGAAAATTCGTAATATCAAGTCTCGTATTGGCATACAATATCCACAAGCAATGAAAAAAGTTGAACAAAAACTTAAAACTAGCAGCTTATCGGAAGAGTCGCGGGAAGAAGATTCACCAAATGCGAACGACCCGCAGTGCAGCATCGACTGTAAATCAAGTGATAAGAAAAGCAAAAGCGTTAAACATGTTGAGAGAAAAATATCCAAAGAATGTGTTACCGTAAATTATGTACAAATGGAAACTAGTACAGAAAATACCGAAACTGGTGTGTATATGAATTCTAATGGAAAAGTCGAAACAAGAGCCGAAACAGTGATTGCAGCTGGCGATGGAAAAACCGATAATGATTCAACTGATAATGAATCTTCAGACTGCACAACTGACACATGATGAAGCGCGTTGATGTTCCAAGTTAAACTTCAGAGTAGCTTGAGTCGAAACAAAATATCTCTCTTTATAATGTAAATTTATTGATTCCAAATAAAAAAAAAATATATATCTAACTTATTTCCTGAAAGTATTTTTGCAATGGTTTAGAAATGCAATCCTGAAAATGAAAACCACGAAACTACGATAATTAAAGCTAGTTATATTTGTGCGTATATTTGTGCAGAAGTTAGTCATCTCTCTTTGAAAGAGGTCTTCTTTTTTTTTTCTTTAAATCAAAAGCAATCATACATTCATGGATTGAATGGCATTGACCAAAAATCAAATATGATATCACTTTGAACTGATTCATTTTGTCTTATGTGCGTTTTGCATTGTCCTTGTATGTATGTATGTTGTATAATGTATTTCGATGATGATTATAAAATCTGATTTTAAAATCGTTTAAAGCAATCTAAATAAATACTTAGTTTAATTAAAGCTTAAATAATTTATATATTATATATTCCATTACTGCGCGAAAATAGTTTCTCTTCATAAAATAGTATCATGAATTCAATTGTATCAATTATCTCTTGTAAGTTTAAAAGAATGATGGGTCGTTTTGTTTCTACGTTTCATCATGTTTGCGTTTTCGATTTGGTTTTGAGCTAACTGAAACCAGTTCGGTATCTGTTCCACTTTCATTTGATGTATTTGGTTTTTGGTCACTATTATTTATAATTTCATCCCCATCGATTGGTACTATTGGAGTAGGCTTAGTATTGTGTTTGGGATTTTCTTCAGCATCGGTTTTCAATCTCTTGCTACTATGGCCGGCTTCCGGTTCATCGAATCCAGATAATTTTTTCGCGTTCTTATTGAATAGTTCACGGTTGTACCGATATTCATCGGAGACATCGTCTCGTAGCGGATCGTCCGGATTTGGTGAGCTTAGTAAAAGTTGTATTGAAAGTAAAATGGATTCAAGTGTAATGGCTGGGTTATAGCTACCGCCAGGCGGCATTCGTAGGACATCCAAACAGATCTTTCCATCTACAATGAGTGCAGTAAAGTACATAAATGAGAGTGTCTTACATAACATACATATATGGGACACAATTAGATGCTTCATTTGTTTAGAATGTGAACTTACCCGTATCGATATTCGGATGATATACGGGCGTTATGAACTTTGCGCTCGGTGGTCTAAATGGATAGTGTTTATCAAATTCCATGGCAATTTTAAATTGGATTTCTTCGTACGGAGTCTCTTTCGGTCCCTAAGAAGCAAATACATTTTTTGTTAATTCTAAGTAGATTCTAATTGTAGATGAGTATTAAATCATTCAATGGACGACTTACAGGAATTACAGCTTCGAGAGACTCATATGAATCATTTTGGATGTAACAACGGATACCTTTAGGAGAATTTAAACGATGTTATTTTCGATCAAATCTTTTTATTCAAAGAATACATCTGGAAAACATCATTTAATTTACCGTGATCATTTGATGATTCTTCGATTTGTCTGATTTCCGCTGGTAAGCGTCTTGGTCTAATATCAACCGAATATGGACTGCACATTTTTCGTTTGTTAATTGTTAACGCATACAATGATTAAATCGAACTCGGCTGTTGCTAGCTTTTTCTTTGCCTCAAATCTAAATTTTTATTTGTTAATTTCAGTTTCTCTCTTTTAGAGTGAAAATAGAAAAAAAAAATTGTCCCACGAAACACTTTAGTTACTCAATTTCACAAATTTTAAAAATATGAATGCAATGTGCTTTGTTTTTCTTTTTGATACAAGTTAGATGACCCAAACAAAAGACGAAATACACAACAATGAAAATAGATTCGATGGCGTATATCATCAATCAAAATGATCCATCTCATTTATATGGCATTTGATTAACAATGAATGCATAAAACGCTTCATCTGTGCATACTTCGTCTGAAATCACGGAATGCATTGTATTGAAAGAGAGAAAGAGAGAGAGAGAGAGAGAGAGAGAGAGAGAGAGAAAATTCGATTTCGAATGGAATGGTTTGGAATCAAAAACCATAGATCTCAATCTATGTATGATACATGTGTGTGTGTATTCGTAATAAATGCTTTTGATTGTTCATGTGTGGTTGTGCTGCTGTGTTTAATTGCATGCGTAGCTTAGTAACATTCGATAAATCGTAATCACCGAGAAAACAAATGACCGAATATTCAAACTAGTATTTTTTTTGGATTGTGAGACAAATATTTTACAAAACAAAATGTGTATTTTCATAATCTAAATATAATAATTGTTGGTGTTCGAAATTTTATTTCCGTTGTATTTCGAAATCGATTTCATGCATACAATCACAAACGAACTAATACATGTACACAATAAACAAATGAGCATTTACAACCAACTTCACTTTGAGCAATTCATTTTCAACGTATTTCAAAATATATAGTACACTGTGCGAGTCATATTATGTTTGTGTAAGCATAAGACAGTGTTTTTTCTATTTAAGTGTTAGCCAACTTAAAGGTACATCAACACGATCAGTTTTCGTTGGCCAACCGAGTTACAATTTTTAGCAATAATTTTCAAGAGGATTTAAGACTTACATTACGGTAATGGCTCAAAATATAAGCCCGGATCGTTCACAATCGTCGAATTTGTCAAAACAAAACGACGAAGCTGTAACAATCAAAGACAATCATGCAGTAAGCAAAAGGTTCGTATTTCATTTTGATTGAACAGCATGTCGAACCCGCGACTGGCAATTTTTTTTTCCATGATGTGTAAAAATGTTTTTAGTTTGTAGTTTTTTTTTTTGTTAAATTTTTCTTTTAAATTCAAAAATGGAGATTTTTTTGGAATTTAAGCTGATGAATCGTTTTTCTATGTTTGACGTTGTTTGCATTCGAGTGGTTGAAGAGGCGCGCGCGTCTGAATTCAACCATCATTTTTTTCAAAGCTTGTAGCTTTATTATAACAGTATTTTTTTTTTTTTTTGAACCGTAGCGAATTTTTATGTTAACCATTGGATGTGAACAGATAAAATTGTAATTATGCTTTAGAAATATACGATTCTCCAAATGACCATGGCCTCGAATATGAATTTTACATTGAACAACATATTGATTTTTCGTTGACTTTTCAATGAGATTCATGTCTTCTGCCAAACAATGGTATTTGCGTATTGAACAAACACATAGACAATGGGGATAAAAATGTGCGCTCCTCGTTATATTACCGCTTATTTATCGGAAAATTATTTGTGTATTTTCAGATTACAAAAGGAGCTGATGTTTTTGATGATGTCGTCCGAAAAGGGTATTTCGGCGTTTCCCGACGGTGATAACATATTCAAATGGATCGGTACGATTAGCGGACCCGTTGGCACCGTCTATGCTGGTCATAAATATAAACTACAATTAGAATTCCCAAATTCGTACCCATACTCAGCGCCTGTTGTTAAGTTCGTCACGCCATGCTTTCATCCGAACATCGATCTGTCCGGTGCTATTTGTTTGGACATTCTTAAGGATAAATGGTCAGCACTGTACGATGTTCGAACCATTTTGCTGTCGATTCAGTCGCTATTGGGTGAACCAAATAACGAAAGTCCATTGAATGCCCAAGCATCATTGCTTTGGAACAATCAAACAGATTTCAAGAAATACTTGGATGAATTCTACGAAAAGAACAAAGAAGAAGCATGAATAATGTAAAAACAGCCAACGCCACCAAACATCTATAACGTTAAGTAATTTCACAATGAAATGAACAAAATTGAGCTATATCTGAATATGTTGAACAACGGCAAACCAAAACGGAAAATAATCAAGTCTGGCAACTGACAACAAACAATTACCAACAACCAGTACACGCCCAAACAACTGAAATGCAAATGCAAATACTAATAAAACAAAAAATAAAAAAAATTAAGGAGTAAGAAAAACAAATGAGATCGATTGATGTGGAGAAAAAAAAAATAACAACACAAAACCAAAATCATTTGTAACATTCATCTATTTATTACTTATAACATATTAGATCGTCTCGATTTTTGTTTTTTTTTTAGTGTCTAAGGCGCCACATTACCTACTCACTTGAGAAACATACATGAATGAAATTTTAATAAAATCCAATTAATAAAATTATTGATATGGAGTCACTGAAAGGTGTTGCTATTTTTTACATACTAAAAATGACCGAAAACTGAAATGCACGCAAAAAACGCGCCAAATACGGACGGCTTGATGAAAAAAATTAACGGTCGATTTTTAAAAATTCGAACATCGAATTAAATGACGTTTCACTTTCGAACAGATACAGTCATGAATAATTTGCGGTAGAAATGTGAACCGTATTCCGAAATATGAATTCATTCTTATGAATTCGTATTTTAGATTGTTTGTTTTTTGTCAATAATCTATGTCGATCAAGTAAAAATGCATTTTATATCGTAGTTCATTTTGGCGTTTATTTTGTTTAAATTTCGTGGTGTTTTGCACAAACGACTCCCAACATTAAAAGATATTTAAATAATAAACAATTTCTATCTAAACATCGGTTCGTTCAATCTCATTAAATTGGTAAAAAGAGACAACAATGGATTTGGACAATCCAACAATTTATGGCTTGGAAACTCAGGTAATACAAAACGCAGAATATCACTGGATACTTAAAAAAGAAGATCGTTACTTTACATAGGGGTGCTATTAATGTATTGGATGACATACGATTGGCCCAATGATAAACTAGAAGAAGTTTTTAAAGAATACAACCGCAGTTTTCACCCATTTTGGTACAATTCTGCTTTGTAGCTCGTCTTCTGCTGGCGAACTGTATCGTTTCAGATTGACATACTCGCGTTGTAGTTGCCTTCGAAGTTCATCATTTACAGTCACTAAACATATTTGACTCTCTAAATCACGATTCACTGAACGTTCACCAAAGTTTGAGGATCCAATTAGTGTAAGATCCGGCGTATATGATCCGGGTAAATAATACCAGAGACCTTTTGCATGATATGTCCATCCAGGCCGTTGGTATTCGTATAATTTAATTCGATCGCTTTGGTTCGACTCAATTAGCTTTTTCAGGAAATTCTTTGAAATTTGTGAATAGGCCATTGGTATTCCACCCGCTGGTCCTTTAGCACCTAGAAAACCATTGGCATTTGGATGAGCCATCAGAATATCACAATGCGCCTCACACTTTGTTGCTATAGTGTCCATATAAATTTGCGTTAAATTGAAGTATCCAGTAGTTAAATTAATCCTTGAGTTTGGTATCGCCTTCAAGAATAGGTTTTCCGTTACAAAGCTATCATGATGAATGCCCAGTTGACCCATTTGGACTAATGGAAACACCCATGTATCAATTTTTACATTATTGCTCCGAAATGTTTCCATTTGACATTTCATTTCATTGGCGGTCGTCGTGAAGAAATTACAGATTGAATCGTTTGCTAAACTAACGAACCGTTTTTGGTCCTCTTCGTATGGTAGAACATTCCATTTTGAGTGCGAGTAGTATTTGCTTTCAGGCGAGACCTGAACACTGAATTCCTGCACCTTTTCAATAAGCTGATAATAGAAATCAGACAGATTTTTGTCCTTAATAACAATGTAGCGATCTTGTCGATTCTTGAAGTAGTCATTTGACAAATTGGCTCCGCTGATTACCACCGTGTGATCGGCCACATAAATTTTCATGTGCTGTAGCCCGATCAATTCATTCCATCGATCTGGCATTACTCGCTTCTTTATTCCCCTCAATTTCGGCGTATGATACAACGAGAGCGAAGTGTTTGTACTATTATTCAAAAGTTGTTGCAGTAATTGTTTCGATGATGTTTTACTGCTATCACCCCGTGTGCCTCGGGTAAAATCGATCAGAATATTCACTTTGAGTTGTGAATTATTACAAACATTCTGTTCAATATCCTTTACGAGTTGTGATTCGAGTTGATCTGTACCGATATATAAGCTAGCTATGCCAATGCGATTCACTGCGTTTATACAAAGTGTTTGTAATTTGGTATAAAACGCTTGTGGCTCAGTTATAATTTCAATTTGGCCAGCTTGGAGCGGAAAGCATAAGCTCATCGAATGCAGCCAGTCCAAGCTTTCAAGCCTCTTAATACCAAACGATCCCGTTAAATTTACACCATTGAATGGACTTCTATCCATTTGTACAGTCGAATCCACTATCGTAGAAAACAATCGACGTAACATTTCTTTCCGTTCCACTTCAATTCAACCTGCAATCAAATGTTGTTTTTTGTATTTTCTGTTCGATTTCCGTTCGTATAAGATGCACTAATTGTTTTCATTGTGAGATGTTCTATGATTACACATTACTTTGGTTATGTTACAACATTTTCGACTGATTTTCACCATATGACATTTGTTTTCATAGCAGCTGAATTCAATTTTCGAAAAATTCGAACTTCGAAAATGCATCAAACTTCCAAATTCAAGAAACTTTATTCAAATTTTTCTATCTTCGCAGGCACGAACGATGGCACCACAACTAGCTGAAAACAGTGAAATTCGTTTTTTTGTGGCCACACAAACATTAAAACCTCAAAATCAGATTCATTTAGTAGAATTCAATGAAAGCTCCTTGGCTTTGAAGCAACGAGTAAGTTTATCTTCCGTTTGTATTCTGTTGTAATGACTTTATTTCAAATGTATTTTGCAAATGTTTATTCATTAGATTTTTACACATTCGGCGGGTGAAATTTGGAAAATCAACAGCAGTCCGCACGATCCAAGGGAACTTGTAACATGCTTCAGTACATTGAAGAACTCTCAGGTTGTTACACAAACGGCTATTTATCGACTCCCCGATCTTACATCGGATGTAGAAAGCAAAGAATTTCTACAATTTGAATCCAGGGAAATTTTGGATACCGAAGCTTATGGGATCGATATTAAAACAACAGAGTTCCATTCGACAGATAGCAATTTATTAGCCACAGTAGTTGATGATAAAATTTTGCTTCATGAACGTACGCCAGCGAAAACTAGGCTAATTGCCGAGATTAATGCCAAAAATGCGCCAAAACTGACAACAGGTAAATGGTCACAAACACATTTGGGCAATCAATTTATTGCACTCATCGATTGTGACGTTCGCTCGTATGATATCCGTGATCCAAATCATTGCGCCTGGTCTATCGAAGAAGCTCATAGTCAAATGATTCGAGATTTGGATTGTAATCCGCATAAGCATTGTCATTTTGTGACCGGTGGTGATGATGGCGTTATCAAAATTTGGGATAATCGACACACAAAAGAGCCAGTCTTCGTTCGTAACGATCATCAACATTGGTACTCATTTTGTATTAACATTGACTTTTTTATTCTCAATACACTTGAAGTCGTATATTAAACGTTTAAATTTTAAATTTTAAGGGTTTGGAGTGTTCGATTTAACTTTTTCCACGATCAACTTGTTCTATCCAGCAGCAGTGATTGCAAAGTAATACTTACATGTGCGGCTAGCGTTAGCTCAGAAGCATCAAATGAACATTCCGATAAAGAAAACTCGTACGTACCACGTTTATTCAAAGTAAAAAGACAGACAAACACGTATACTAATCTACTAATAGAGAAATTATATTTAATAGGATTCCAGATGGATTACTTAAGACATACGATCAACATGAAGATTCGGTTTACTGCGCGGAATGGAGTAACGTTGATCCATGGTTGTTCGCTTCGCTCAGCTATGATGGTCGAATGTGTATTAATCGAGTACCAAAAGAATACAAGCTCAAACTCTTAATGCACAGCAACTATAGCTGAATAATTTTTCTTACCACAAATCGGTATAATCTCGAAATTAAAATTAATGCAAAAAAAAACATTTGAATATATTCATATATTCACATAAAATGACAAGACTCTTTATTTTACAATCAACATACGATTGTATACAATTGGAGCGGTTTTAAGGACTAGAAAAAGTGGTCGGTATGGTATTAAACACTACATTCATTTGGAATTAATCCAATAAATTCGCATTATTATTGTTGCTACGTTCTTGATCTTGGTTTTGGTTTGCATTGAATTTTAACGTGTCGTTAACAGTTTCTGCTGAAAATGTATTCAAATCTTCTGCTAACCAATTAAGACTTTGTTCTGTTGATGTTTTCCTCTGAAGCCATGATTGTGCCTTCATTGAAGTGGAATTCAGTGATAAATCAATATCTGCTATACCAAGCTCAACCAATAAATTATCTGCTGTAGAAATGGTATCTTTGCCGCTTTGTGAATCATTTAAATCAATTTCTTCGAAAGCGGCGATCAAATTTGCTGATTTTTGTATTTTTGTATTAGAATTTGCCTCCATACGGTCTTTTGTAGTTAGTGCTTCAACGCCCATTTCGATTGGAATTTCCTCCTCATCTTCTTCCTCTTCAAATTTTACGATCTGATTGGATTTGTATTGGAATGCACTTGGCTTGAGATCAACTTCGATTGGGAATAGATTTGGATGCATCTGTATTTTTTCCAATATATCCCGACTGTAGTTTGCTAAACCTTCAATTAATTTTCGTAGATGGTTTACCAAATCTTGGGCATGTTTGCTCTCGAGTAATTCCAATTTTTCCAATACGTCATTGCGTAAAGATGCAAATTTGGCACGAGCCTCTTGTCGACATCGTAAAATCAATCTATATTCATAGTTGCCCGTTTCAACACGATACAACGGATCTTGTAGGGCCGCATAGGTATGTTCTTCATCGTCTAATTCCTTCACCTTCAAAAGACAGAAGCAATGATTTATGTGAATATGTTAATTGATGATCATATTACCTTGAGACAGTACGATAAATAAGTGAATTTCGCATCAGCATATCGGCGAATAGTCAATTTAGTGTCAGGAATGGCTTTCATCAAGTAGGTTCCAAGATCACTCAATACCGGTTTAATCGCTTTTAACATTATCAGACCATCTTTTTCCATATTTCGATGCATTTCACTGAATATTCGAAATGTTTCGGATGCAGTTTGTTGTGGCTCCCGAATTTCGGCAAAATTTCGACCAAATAGTGAGAAACATTGTATTACATCAAAATGGGCCTTCAACATCCTGCAATTGTTGAAAAAGCGTAAATATTTCATTTCACCTTATTGCACAAATGTAATATTTTTAATAGCATCAAAGAATAAGCGCACCAAAAAAAAATCTGTGCACATTTTTATAGCAGTATATGCAACTTCACTACTGAAGTAATATTATGAAAAGTCTGATTTTATGGTCAAAATGTTCCTTTTGAGTATGAGTTTTATTTGCAGGTCAAAAATATGATGTCTTTACTTGAATAAGATCTAATATTCTAAACGAAAACATAGTAGTTATTGAATCCTATAAGCTTTCGAGTAAGTTGATTTTCTGTAGAAGAATCAGAAAAAATACAACTCATAAAATCTCGCCACACCATATTTGAGGTGTAGGAATGTATATCGACACCATTTCCGAACAAAGCAATCGTTCAATGTATAAGCAATGTACATAACCAATACTCAATCACACCGTACGAGCAGCGATTGTCAGACTTGAGCATGATTAGTCTTCGCCGTCGACATGTCAACGCGTCACTGACTTTTTTCTACGACATCATCAACGGTAACGCCAACTGTCCCACGGTTAGTGACAAAGTCTCATTTAATCATGGGCGTTCATTGAGACACAGTGAACAATTCAAGGTCAATGACAGGCACATGAAGTTGGTGCGCGAGGCTCCAATTCCTCAAATGTGCAAAATGGCGAACATAGTGCCGGAACTGTTCACAGCAGCGATCTCAAAGGCGAATTTTGCATAATCGGTTCGCAAAATGGCGGACACCACTTTTGGATCGCTTTGCAAACTCAAATGACTACCAGGCCGCTTAGTCAATTTTTCATCCAGGTAACCTCATTTTCTGTATACAGTGAGCGTCAAAAGTTTTGTCACAGTTAGTTTTTTCAGTCTTTATATTTATTTATTGTTGTTTTAACAAAATTTCTTTTATGGTTTTATGAAACGAGTAGAAATATATAAATTCATGATCTTTTTTACGAATTTAATTTACCGTTACTGTAGATAAATGACAAAAATCAAAACCACGCGTCAAAAGTTATGGCACACTTTAGGAAAATTGTTCAAAATCTTGAATATCTCATAATTAATTGTCGGTATTTGGCTTTTAAATGAAGATGGTGACCTAAATCAAAGATTCCGGTACTTTGTTTTGCATTTTAATGATGGCCTTAAGTCATAAAGCTGGCCGGCCAAAATGTGGTTTTTTGTGTTTTTGACCACCCTGTATTTTTAAGGCTGATTAATATAAAACATATACAATTGGAAACGTCTTTGAAAGTAGATGCATTTAGTGCTTTAGGCAAAATCAAATCGGCGGCCATTTGGTCAAATTTTTTGCAATTTTGAATTAATTCCTTTTTTGCATCGAATGCTCTGTTATTTTTCAAATCATGGTTTATTGATTAACTCAAGCCACTCTACAGTCAACAATTTATCCACTGCATAAATTGAGTGACGACTTTTGAAGTCTCAAAGTCTCAAATTAAACGCGTAACAGTTAACGCTTCACATAGCCTTTGTCCCTTTGGAAACGTTTACCAAAGGTTATTTTGGACCGTTTGCTATCGCATTTCCATCTTGGTTTTATGACTGTTTTTTTTTTGTTTTCATATCCTACTTATGTAAATGCAAAAAGATTACGAAAAGAGCCTGGTTTTTAACGAGGCGAGAACTGATAGTTTGTTTGTTTGTTATTAATAATCATTGTATGTAAATACAAGTCGATGTAACAGTCTTGCACTCTTTTCCGGTCACATTCTATTATGATGTATTCAGCCAGAGCTTGGCGGTGTTAAATAAAATAAAAACCATATGGCGTGGCCGAATAAACACAATGCGCAATGGAATCACACCATACTGTGTGTGCCCTGACTGTACTCATAGGTACATACAGTGAGTGCTTAGATGTACGGTTATTAACTAATAATGAGTATAATTTAGTTATGATACACGAGTTTATTCTTTTGTTTTTAGAGTGTATAAAATCGGCCTACCGTTTGCTGTGTTCAACCAATCCACGATACATTGATTCAGTTGATTGAAGCTCTTGGAGGCGTTTCACCAGAGAATCATTACATAAAATGGCTCGAGACAATCCAAGTGAGTCAGCTGTATTGCTCGACATGCCCTCAACGAAACGATGTTTTAGCTTTTTAAGAGCGATGTCAAGTGACTCTCCCTGGGTCGGATCAGCATGTAGTTTGTTGTAATGTATTGTTACTTCATTTGTAGCCGACTGAATCATTTTGGCAACCGCCACTTTTGTTTTACCTTTAGCTGACTGCCCATTCACGCCAAGCAATTCATCTCCACTCTGTAATGTGCCTTCATTGGCCGTTGGTGTACCATCAAACACCTATGTAGAATAAAAAGAACATCATGTTAATAATTTGATATAAATTCGAAAAAAAAAATAGTTTTGTCTAAAAAAAAATTGTTACCTGAACTATGTATAGACAAGGACAGTATGGTGCACCACCACCAATGCTTATACCGATTAAATTACTTTGATCTTTTTTTATGATAACTGATCCGGATGAAACAGTCATTCCCCTTGTGATTAGTTATCGCATATATTCAATTCAAATGTTAAAAGGATTGTATGTATAGACATGCAGTTAGTAATTGTGAGAAAAAATTATTTTAATTCATTTAAATGCAAGCGTTATCAACGGAAGCTAAATACATTTACATTAATTTTATTGAACGTAAAGAAAAATTGGCGCTGTGATAGCGATATGTTAAATCGTAAAAAATATCTTCTTTCTGCTGTAGTTTTTGTCGTCATTGTTGTATTTGTTATTTAAGAAGATTGGATAGAAAAATAAACAATTTATAAACTCACATTTTATCTTCTTCAAGAAAGTAATCATCTTCGTATTCTTGAATCATCGTTGAGTTTTGTTCTTCGTTGTATTGAATGAAGTTCCCCTTTGATGGGCAATTTAAAAAAAAAAATCTCTTTTATTATGGTAGTTTCCTTTAGCTGTAGCACTTATATATGGAAAAAATCCGATTACCAGACGGACAATTTTCACTTTCCACATACACTACGTAAGAGTTGCAATACATATGTTTGCAAGCTTTACCTTGGCTGTAGAAAGTATTTTTGTATATTCAGTTTGATTAAATTTGTCAATAGGGATGTGAATGGTATACTATATAGCAAAAACAAATATGGCTGATGCAAACAAAATCAACAATCATTTGACATTTTAGACCAGAAACTAAGGGAAAGAAGAAAAAAAAACATAACAGCCTTTGAAACGTATTTAATAGATGATACTTGCCTACATGCCATGCATATATGTAATGAATAGAACTAAATAAAGAAACGAAAAGATCGAAAGCAGTTTCTTATTGTTGATTTCTCCTATTTCATGTTGATTTTACTAAATTAAAGATACGTATATTTTTCATATGTGAAAGAAAAAATTTCTGGCAGTGGCAACTTCGATCAAGTGATTTTTTTTTTTGTGTGTGTTTCAGTGTAATATTGAAAGTTCAGCATTCAACATTGTCGTTCATAATACTGGCTGTACTCGCCTCATTTTACAATTTGGCAAGTGATTTATTATTTCCTTTCGTCATCACCGTAGAAATATTTCATCCCCATCCTTCTTTCAATAATTTAGTTGTTATTTATATTTCGGAATATTTGTAATGAATGTTGTGTCAGACGTACACATAAATCAAACCAAAAAATATTGCATCTACTACATTGCTTTTTATTCGGTTGGTTAACACATAGTTTTTGGGATTCATGATGACAATGTTGTTTAGTTGTTGAAAACTGAAATTTTTCGTTTTATTTCATTTATTTGTAGGACTAACGAATAGTAAGATCTTTTTATGGGTAATTTAGAGAGCAGTATGAACAATATGATGGAAAACGATCACGAGTCAGATTCCAGCAGCGAAGATATTGAAATTGGCTACGATATGCTCAACCTGTATTTAGATTACAATGATGGTGAATCAGATTCAAGTCACAATGATTCTAACGATGATTTATTAAATTTGCTATTACAGGCAAGTAACATTTATGTAATGCTTTCTACCGTTAAATTAAGTAATGCTTTTGCCCACTTCAGTGGTGCATTTGACCATTAATTCACATACAATCCCGTCCGAATCGGATGAAATTCGGGTATCATCCAACTGTATGCTACACTCGAATCACATCCATTTGTGACAGTAATAATGGGTGTGAAAACTGACTGACTGACTGAGAATTATATATGTACAACAGATTTGATCGTTTTCATCTTTGAATCAATTGAGAAATCAGAACCGTTGTGCAACATTTTCAATTGTAAATGTCACTTGAAATCTTCATACTATTCATTAGCTCTAGAAATATGCACGATATAATAATCATTTTCAGTATAAAAAAACTGTCGAAGCAAAAGTATTTTGCTTCTCTTTGGAGATTTCCCTTTCTGTCTCCAATTCGTAAAACAGCAGTTTTGACGCAGTAACCGTCATGCCATGCAAATGTGGTGTTCAAAGGATGAAACATTGTCGCCGAACGATTCGTTTTGCAAATGTCACTCAGCACAGCGGCTCATTGGTGTAGGAACATTGACAAGAAATTGGCGCACATTTTTTTGAGTGAACATTCAACGAAAAAAGGCAATTTTTTTTTGGGGAATAGTTGCTTTAATTGCGAGACCAAAATCCTTTTACAGGTATGTACGGCTAAGAATAGAGTTTTTGCACAAAATAAATTGTGGATTATTTTGGAAATTGTTGTGAAATTGTTATTTCGTCATACCGGTTCACATTTTCATGTTTAATGACATGTTCAAAGCGGGAAAAATCGCAATATTCTAGACCGATTGCATTGATTGACGCGAATAAATCAATATAAATTAATTCGATCACAACAAGTTTTCCCATTTTTTTTTGTTACCAATTACAATTAATGGATTGTGGTTTTTTTTTCCAAAGATTATTTCGCAATTTTGAGGCGAGATCCGCATTGAGACAGGGAGACAGAGAGCAAACGAAGCCTGATCTATTCAAATCGTTTGGATTCATACGAAGTGGACTTATTGTGACCGAGGTGAGTTTAGTGAACGTAGAAAATTGCAACAAATTAGCGTAAAATCATGTTTTTGCGTGTGGTGTACATGTTTCGACATGATTTATGGCGACGGACTGATGAATATCATCACATTGTTATCGTATTCGTTTAAAGCGATCAATCAGTGCATTGTTTTCGATTTCCGTAGCGTTAGCCAATTTCACAATCGCTTGCAACAAACATTTCATTCGTTCTACAATTTATTTTCTCTCGTTTAGATCCATCGCGATGGCGAGGCGTAAGCGGCACAATAAGACGTTTGGTAGGCCAAGGGAGAACAAAGTGCAGATGAAAAAGCACTCCATTGTGAAGAAAAAACGTGTCAATCGGAAAGAAGATTCAACAAAACAGTCGACAGAAAATGGCACAATCGAAATCGGCGCGATCAAATTGGCATTTAATTCGATAATTAATCCGAACTTAACAGAAACAGAAAGAGGATTTCTGATCCATAAGTTCTTCGAGAAATGTTTGAATGCTACGAAAGTCATGCATCTTGCATCGATGTTAATGCTCTACAGAATCAACGAAGCATTTGATGATGGCAATTTGGACTTCTTCGTGAATCAAAATGGAGCAAATGTGATAACAGACTGTTTCAACTGTGTCACATCGGACAACATCAAAGATCCACTCACAGCCCAAATGCCAGATGCATTTCTCGCGATGGTGACACAAGATAGCCCCTACTTTGAATGGCCACGCCGCCATCAAATGACCCGTCAAGTCTATGCTCTCAAGGACCAGTATGTGGCCAATGTGAAAACAAATTTGGAGACGCACTGTTGGGTGAGATTGACCCACTTTCTACGTGTAAAGTGCCATGAATTCAATCACAAAGGAAACCCACTTGAGGTTATTGATAATGCATCATACTTGCCTTTCGATGACATTGACATTCGAAATACGATGAGAAATTTGATGTACAATGAAGATTGGACATATGATGATGATGAAAGTCGAAAGTGGAAGATGGATATACTGTTTAAGGAAGTGTCTGAGCTTTGTGGCCCATCATTCGTAAAATACTTCACAATGTACGAATACATTCAAAAGGACTGGTTCGAGTCTTTGTGGATGTGGATAGGCATGCAACGAATTGTCGAGAAATTTTTGATCGATACGGCTCACCTTCGTCAACAGTGGAAAGCATACGATCGTGATCCAGTGAACAATCGAGAGGCGTCGGTACCGAAGATACCAAAAGTGAAGAATTTCGCCGCTATTCCACTCAGTGATACAAAACTGAAGCACATACCATTCGACCATATTGATTTGATTGATATCATCGGCCAGTTGAGAAATGAACGGGGATGCTGATTATCGTACATACTACAAGCAAGGCGAGAACAAAGACGAGGCATGGGGAATTGTGTTCGATATGGACAAAATCAGACAGCTCAGAACCGGTTCGAAAGAGTTTTACCACAAAATTCAAACCAACAGTAGTGCCGTGTCGGTGTTGTTTAGCAGACCCAAACGCAAAGGAGCCGGCGTGACTCTGTCTGAAATCAAGGCAAAGTACGAAAAGCCAGTCAGCAAAGGCGGCTATATGTATGAATCAGGAATTGATCCCGGCCAGAAAACAAAAATGGCCTGCGTGCGTCGGACTCTCGCTACTGGAACTGAAGTAAGTTGAAATATCATATGAAAATTAACATAGATTTGCATTGTTGTTGTTCATTTCACAGACCAACATCAAATTATCGAATATTCAATATCACTGGGGTGCGCGTCAAGGAATGCGCGACAAACGGGCCACAAAAATGACCAGAAAGTACGTGCACAAAGAACAGCGCGACTTGAAAAGCTATCCGATCGCATCCGTATCGCCGCGAGGATTCATTAAGCACAAAATCAAAATGCTGACAGATTCATTGGCTACATACGCCAGAAGAAAATACGCACAGCTATCGTTGCACAAGTACATCGAGTCTAATCGCGAAATGGATTTGATGGCTAAACACATAACAAAGAATGAGACAGGAGTTGTGTTCCTTGGTGATGCGGCGTTCCCATCAAATTCGAAAATCGGTGTGAAAAGAACAAAACGAACACCGGATCAGCGAAAGTTTATAGTTAGCCTAAAAAAGGACGGCAAAACGGATGTTGTGCTTACACCAGAGCCGTATACATCACAAACCTGTGCCAATTGCTTGCGGCGATTTCCAAGAAGCACAAAAAGTGACCGATTCAAAGTGTGCAAAGATTGTCGCCCACACAAGGATGTGAGACGCCCACCGCTTATCGTGACTGATCGAAGCAGACGGCGCAAGCAACGTGATCGAAAAGAAAATGCCAGCCAAAAGCCAACAGCAAATGTAACTAGAGCCGAAAGAGCTGGGAAGCATCGGGAAAAGCGTCGAAGTGAGCGTGAAAGCCACAATCCAGAGCAATTGGATACCGAACAGGCAGTGAGACGGTACAATCGACGCATACGACGGCGTGAACTACGTCAACGACGTCGAGTTGCAGGCCATCGCAGCCGTAAAGTAACCAAACAGCCGGAAGCGGAATCCGATTTGCCAGGTTTTGATAAAATTGGTGACACAAGTATTTGCAAGATTCGTGTCAAAAATCGTAAGGCCAAACCACAATCATGGCAGCGATTACATTACGACGCAAATGATACAGGAATTGGGTTATTGGGGTCAAAGAAAATAGCCTTCCAGAAAAACTGGCACTCAAGCCCAATGAATGATCAAAACGCTTCTACTGTTACTTGGCATCGTGACATCTGTGCGGCGAAGTGCATCTTGTACAGAGGTATGTGATCTACACAATACAATCACATTCATGTTTTATTGTATTTCAATTTCGAGTTCAATTCGTTCATTCTAGGCCGTTGTATGGTTTTCGACTTGAATGTGCACGAATCATTTGTGTTACCACCAGAAAGGATATGGCCAAAATGTCGAGATGACCAATCGAGTCGGCTAATCAAATGCTGTCGATGAAAAGTAGAGCGTAGATTAAGAGAATAAAATAAAACATTAACGATTAGTTAATTTCAAAGCTTGATTTTTGTGGCT